ACAAGTTGATTTAAATTTATTCTTATGTGATTTTCAATAATAAGTAAAAACGTACTACACACTTTGCCAATTTTTCATTTTTCTAATTGAGATTTTTATAATAATTTGGTAATTTTTTAGAAATACATGAAATATTAAATTCATAAAATAAAAATATAATATTTACGAATAATTAATGAACTCTGTGAAATTTAAACATTTTATCTAATTATGGGGTCGAATAAGCGAAGAATTTTTTTTTCAATTATAACACTGCAATTTTTTAATTTTTTTTTTTGTAATTTATTTTTGTTGTATATTACTTATTGGGTAATATATTTAAATATAAGTTTTAAATATTTTATTAAATCTATTCTTTTAGTTATATGCTAAATTTCGCAAATAAAACATTTGGATCATTTTAGTTCCAATTTTAATAGTTATTGAACTTTTGGTGATTATAATTATTGGTTTATCAATGCTGGTTTAATATTAAGCCAAAATATGTCCAAAATTAAGCCAAAAAATTCAATTATCGAAGTTTTGGTAATATTAAATTTTGTTTTATCAATAGTTGTCCAATATTAAACCAAAATATGCCCAATTTTTAGACAAAAGATATCTTTGCCTCGAAACGTATTTATCTATATGTTGACAGTTTAAAGAACCTAAAAAATACGGTCAATTCTTATATTTTACTTTTGTTCAATTCATATTTAATTCTACAAATATTTTTATAAATAACAATTAATTTAAAAATATTATAATATTTTTATAAAACCTATAGTTTGTCGTGACAAAAAATATTTTTTATGGAACGAATGATTTTTTCTGGTCTTTAGGTTTACTTTAATGAGCGCAAATGGTTCGTAGACAGTCCAGAAAAATACAAAATACGAAAACTATATGTTAACAAAAAATGTTGTATGGACCGTTTAAATGTATATGTTATATTGAGAAATAAATATAAATATATAGAAATTATGTTCGAATTTCTATCGTCTTACCTTAGTTTCTGGTGACTGCTTCAAAAATTGAGTGTTTGAAGTCCATTCTCCAAGCAGAGCATCAGACATATCGGAGGAACAGACTTCTTTTGGTATACAGATGTGGTTTCGATTTCTGACTGTTCCTGGTTTGCAAATGCAACCAGGATTGCAACTTTCGTTGGACGAAGGATCGCCTTCTATACTGGACAAGGAGTTATTTTCTTTACTAGACAAGGACTCATTTTCCTTACTGGACGAAAAGTCGTCTTCGCAATCAGTAGATGCTCCGCTGTCCTGGACGATGTCTTTACAGCTTTGTTCACATTTTGGTTTGCATTCGACGAAAACTTCGTTGAAACTGGGACATGTCATGTCACCTGGTAAATAGGATAATTATAGTAAATTTTGGTATGGAGAATAAAAAATGATAGCTAAAAAGTAGTCAGTTTAGTAAGGAGAATAGTACCTGTTGGCAAGTGTAATAGAAGCTGAGTGAGTAATAGTTATCTCGAAAACTATAAAAAAATTACAAAAAAAATTTAGTAAGGGGAATAGTAACTGTAGACGAGCGAAATTCGAGATACGAGCTTTGGGCAAGTAAGAGTTTTCTCAAAAACTGTTTATGGCAAAATAAAAATATAACACATTTTCGGAGTATTTTATATATCATACTTATTTACAGTTTAGCTCATAGAAATTATTATTGTATTTGTGATTGCTAAAATAAAGTGAAATGAAATCTAGTTGGTATTGGTATTTAGCCCAGAGGCAAGTTACATGAACTTCCCGATATGTGCAAATAATCGACTTAATCAATAATAAACAAATTAATTTATGAGTGATTAGAAGTATTCCGAGAGGATTTATTACACATAATTGAAAACAAACAAATACGTTAACTCGGAGTATTTTCTAAAAGCAAATTTTCACAAATCAATCATTTTTATAATTGAACCAGTTTTCGCAGGACGTTAATGGTTTAGTACGTTCATGAGGACCAAGTAATCTATCGTTATACCAAGTAAACTGTCTAACTTTAATTTGAACAAACATCAAGAAAACTACTCATTTTCTCAAACGTTGATGAATTTTTAAAATTAAACTACTTGTCGTAAGGCCGTAATATTTCAGTAAGTTCTATAAAATCATGATATACATCGCCAAAGAAAGTTTCATAAAAATCGGCTTAATTTTTTTTCAACGGTTAATTACGTGAAAACGGCTCGGTAGATTTTCACCTAAAACTAATCAATATTATTCCCAACTAATATCTTTCGAACAGTTTTTGATTTTTTAAAATCGATTCGGTAGAATGAGCTTAAATGTGGACGAAAAGTTTAACACTCTTTTTCAAATTACAAAGAAACGGCCAGGCACATCGTCTCACAAAACTGACAAACTATAGTGCTCATTGAAATACAACGAATGGCTTTTAAATTTCTGTAATCGGTTCAGGCGTTTTTGAGCAAACGACGATGAAAAGCCTAATTTTGACAATTGCCAAATAAACGATACCAATTTTTGCAAACTTTGAGGAATTTTTAAAGCTTTAATACTTTTTCCAAATTTGGGCTCATTCGATTCAGAATGGCTTAAAACGTCGAGAAAACATAAAATTAGCGAATCGGATTTTTTGATGAAAACATAAACTTCTCCTTCGGGAAGTTAAAAAATTTATTAGTTATAATAATGACTGCCCTAGTTTTAGAAATATTTTGATGTATTTATATAAGAAAAATTGCTTTGAGATACGAGCGATTTGATATACGATCATAGTTCGAAAACCGTATATATATAGACTCTTCTGTTTTCGATTACTGTTTTCAACAATTACCAAAAACATAACAATTTAATAAGATTCATGCAAAGTTTAAGAGATTTATTGAAATTATTTGGACATAAATTTTGAAAGTAGAACATATTTTTTTGTGAAAAGTGCGGTAAGAATTATGTACGATTTTAAGGCACGAACAAGGGTAAATATTATGCAATGATTTTGATTTTAGTGAAAATTTATGGAACAATTGTGAATATTTTACCGTAGTTTCCAAACCTATCTTACAACAAATATTTTAGTTACTGGTATCGAAACGATTTAGAATAACTTGAAATGCCTAGAAAATACAAAAAGTTTTTTTGACAAAAACTAAACTTTTTTGTAAAAACTTGATTGAAGCGTCAGTTTCTTATATCATAGTCATATTTTTTATTATTTTTGACAAAACTTCCATTCTATACTTACTCATTTCATTCCCTTGCCCTTCCACATAAACAATTACCAAACAAATCGCAAAAACAAATTTAACACTCACAAACTCCATTTTCCCTCAAACAAATTATTTCCAACTGACCATATTGCGTTTTAATCGCTTCTTATATACGGCCGATTTTTTTTTTCTTATATTTTTGACGCACAGAAATAATAAAAAAACATTTTATTATAAATATTTTGGGTGTTTAAATTTAATTGAATTCAATTATTTACTTTTTTTTATCTGGCACACCCATGTTATAATTTCTTAAGCGATCTCTTATCGGTGTTGTAATGTAATAGTTTTATAAATATTAAATCTATATACTAATTGAGAAGAAGAAATTTGAAAAAGTTGATTATGAAATAGGTGTAAGTTGCGTTTTGGCCTAAGGCAAGTTGCAAGTAGTAATAATCGGCTTTAGCAATAAGGATTATGATTCAAATATTTAGATAAAATTAAATTTTTTATTTCAATTTTTTTTTTATTTTTCTCTAAAGTTGAATGAATGTGACTTATATGTTTTAAAACATGTTTTATTCTGATGATTTTTATAGTTTGACTTTTGGTAGAACTAGATTGTTTAAGGATGTTTGTTTTTATTATGAACTTTCGTTAAGTCAACTCTGACTGAAAACGTCTAAAAAATTGTTTAACCAAATATACCAAGAAGCCAAAAAACTAATGCCTTTAAATTCAAATTTGTTCAAATCATAGTAGATTTGAGGGTATTAATTTAAATAAAGAGAAAACCAAAAGTTATTTCATGATGATTTTGAAAATCTCTATAAATCGAATGTCAGTTTCTTCTATTTATTTCTCTTTACTTTACATTTTAATTTCTTTTTACTTAGTAATATTTTTGAAGTAAAATTTCTCAGGTTGCAATTTTTTAAACTATCTAGGTAATAAGTTTCAAAGCCACTTTTCATAGGCCTATAACATTGTCGAATGTTCGTTCAAATAACGAAATTTATTATTATGCAACGTTGCAATAAAATCCCAAAAAAGTTGCATCATATGACAAAAACATCAACTTTTTATTCGCCGTGTTTAAAAAAACTCAATTTTTTGTATTATACCTTCAAATATAAAAATTTCGTCAATGTTTTTGCAAAAAAAACTTGCTTGATTTTTAAATATTTAAAAAATTATTTGAGGCAAATTACTTTTTGATAAAAATTAGCAAGATAGATAAATACCAATTTTCTGGTAATCATTGTGAAAAAATTTCTCAATTTTTCTGTATAGAACTCAATTGTGAATGATTATATGCAAAAATCATAAAAGCATTTTATGCAAATATTTATAACAATTCATGTCACATTTATAATTGAACGAAAAATGATTTTTGTAAAATTTATGTCCACCAAATTTTGGTATATTTAGGTCAAGCCATTCATTTGCTCATTTAATAGATCAAGTTATCATCTTAACTGGTGAGACTTAAGACTGAAAATTAAAAAAATATATATATATATATTTTAAAAGTAATACAACAATCTATATAAATGACATTTTTATTTTATTATATATACATCATATCTTAAAATATTTGAATTAATTAAAAACAATCAAAAACACTTGAAGTAATGTTTATATTTATTTTATAAACACTTATCAAACAATTATCATTACTAATATTTATTACATCACAAACTTTTCTTAGACATTATAATTTTGATCTTGTATACAAAATTGTGAAAGTAAAATTCAATTTATTTAAAAACTCAATGTGTTATGTAATTAATTTTTAAATTTTGACTTTTTTTTAATATCAATAATTTTCAACTTCTGTACCAAAAAACATTTCCGGAAGAAGTTATATGGCCATCACTGTTATCTTCTTCTTGTTGATACTGCCAAATTTTGCTATCGTTCACGTTTTTGTTCCAAAAGTCTGAAGACTCCTAAAAATTATAAAATGAATAACAAACAATCATTTTTTCAATGTGAATCTGCTCAACTTTAAAAGTTCCTAAATAAAGACTGAAAACCAGTAAGAGGCATTTTGCACCCACTAAATTTTGAAGGAAAAAAAGACGAGAAAATTAAAAAAGGTAAAAAAGACAAGAATAATAAACATTGACATTTTTCACAAAAAATACTTTGAGTATTTTAAATATATAACTTTACAATCATTTGTCATAATCAGTGAAAAATTAGCACACCGGACTTCGAAAGAAAGAAATTTTAAAAGATAGTTTTCATACAAAATTTTTAAGGATCTATCTGTAACTATTAATTTTTAGTTTTATTTCTACTCATATTTTTTCATATTTTCTTTATTATATACATTTATTTTTAATTTACTTCTTGAGAGTCCGTTGATGTAGTGATTCCCAAAATTGGCAAAATCAAGTCAGGTCTTTTCCTGACTAATTCTTGAATTTCTTCAGGAATTTTGCGCGTTTTGCATTTGGTTTCATCGTTGTCGTCACAATCCAAGGCTACTATCTAAAAATATAAATAGTATAAGATATATATTAAGGTGGTCCTTAATATGGACATTTTCGTATTTCCTTGCTCCCAAGGGCTCAAATGCTTTCAAATTGATACAAAAATCTCTAAAAGTTTTATCTCAAAAAGATAGTCCTCAATTCAAACGAAGTTTCTTATGTAATTAACATAGATAAAATTCCATTTTTTTTTTTAGAATTTTACAACTGAGCGACAAGTGAATCAAAAGAATAACATTGTGTTTGCTTAGTTTGATCAAAAAAAAAAAAAAAAATACAACAATAATTTGATATTTCATAAAATAAGTATTTACTTAGGAAGAAAAACCAAGGAACTTTGGTTAGAGTGCGGACTATGTTAGAGTTAATATTAAGAGCTAAAACTTTAAGATAATAAAATTTGTTATCAATTTGGAATCATTTGAAACCCTGTGAGCAAGGAAATTCGAAAATTTCCATATTAAGGACCACTCTAATATGTATAGTACGTACCTCTTCTTCGTATTCCTCGTGTTTACCAATTGACTCTGGCTGTTGCGAATCCTGCAAAAACAATAATTATATATTATTGACGAGCAAATTATATGTTCAACTAAATTATAAAAAAGGGATTCTACTAGCAAGCAAATGAGATTTTAAAGTACGGGATATAAAGAGACTACTGATAAGCAAATTAAATTTTAAACAAAAAGATGAAACAGGGATTCTGCTGACGAGTACTCTTAAAATGTGAATAAAAAATAAAAAAAAGGATTCTACTGACGAGCAAATTAAATTTACAACTAAGAGATATAAAAGGGTCCCTACTGATGAACAAATTAAATTGTAAACTGAAAGATAAAGAAGGGACTTTGCTGACGAGCAAATTTAATTTTAAGATAAAAGATATAAAAAGGACTTTACTGACGAGCAAAATAAATTTTAAACTAAAAGATATAGAAGAGAGTTTACTGAAACTAGAACATTTTGAGTAAAAGTACCAGTTGAGACTTTTTTTATGAAATATGAAAAACTTGTCGTTATTTGGCAGAAACCAAAAACATGCCAAAATTGTGGTATAAAATCAAATAATAATCAACTTATGTTACTTTGTAACAATATGAGCAATTATGAAGAACTGGTCTATAATTACTGGTTTATTATTTAGAATAAAAATTTTACAATCAGATGTGTATGATAAAATATAATCTGATCAAGTATCAAGCGACAAGTTTTTTGTGTTCCCAAAAAAAAAAAAGAATTTTATTTACCATTCTGGTTGCTCCACCAACCTTACCTGAACATCCCTTCCAATCTGCCCAACAAACTCTTCACCATTATCAAGAGATCTTTGCCCAAGAGCCACATTGAAGAACTTCCTATCACAAGTAACAAAAGGCACACAGATCCCTGAACTATCTCTGGCAGTGCCCTTCTTGCAGATACAACCCTCCTGGCACAAATTTTCTTTAGAATCCTCCTCAGTTTCCTTTTCATCACTGGATTCATCATCATGATCATCATCATCATTTTCTTCTTCCTCGTCAGACCATTTATCGAATTCTTGGCTCGAATAATGGTGGTCAGTGTCGTCATCTTCCTGGCTTTGATCCTCGTAGGATTCTTCTTCTTCGGAACTGACGCTGGTTGGAGAGTGGTTGAATCTGCATTTGGTGATTTTTTGAAGGTCGTAGATGTCGTTGCAGGTCGTGTCGCAGGGACCGTAACATTCGGTGTAGACTTCGTTGTAGCCGGGACACTTTAAGTCATCTGGGAAAAGATATTTAATTTTTTTTTATTGTTGAAGGTCGTATATTATTATACGATGGTCTATAAATTGCCATTAAAGAGGCGTCAGAAAATTACCAGGGTACATTTATTAATTACTACCTTTAAGTACCAGTGAGTGTCCGTTGATTAGTAAAAGGTATCCATTAGTGACTAGAGAACGTTTAAATATTATCAAAGTTTATCCATTTAACACTTACAACCATCCATTAATTTTTGAATTACGTCCATTAATTTTTAAGAAGCGTCCATCAGTTACTATAAGGGGTGTTTGCTAATTATTATGAGGTTGTTATTTATTACTTAGGATCATTTAATATTTAATAAGGTGTAATTTATTACTAAAAAGCATTCAATGAGTACTAAGAAACATCAATTAAAATATTTAACTACTGAAAAGCGTCTGGTAATTACTTGCGAATATCCATTAAATAAAATTAGGTGTTTATTAGCTTATAAAGAGCATTCATTAACTATGAAGAAAGTTCTATTAATTTCTAAGTTGCAACGATTAACTTTAAAGAAACTTCGATCAATTTTTAAGGAGTGTGCATTAATTTCTCAGCGTCAATAGATTTTTTAAAAATCTTCAATAATTTCTAAAAAGTCTCCATTAGTTTTTAAAGGACGTCCATTGATTTTTAAAAAACCTCCATTAATTTAAAAAAAAACCTTCATTAATTTCTGAGGAGCGTTCATTAATTTTCTAAGAATCCCATTAATATCTAAAAAATCTTCAATAATTTTTAAGGAGCGTTAATTATTTTCTATCGAAAGATCATTAGTTTTTCTAAGTTTTAATATTTTCTAAGGAGTATCCATAAATTTCTAAGAAACTTCTACTAAGTTTGAAATAATTCAAATAATTTCTAAGAAACCTTTGTTAATTTTCAAGAAGTCTCCATTAATTTTTAAGAAGCGTCCACTAATTTTTACGAAACCTCCATTAATTTCTAAGAAGTGTCAATTGATTTTTAAAAATCATACATTAATTGCTAAGGAAAGTCAATTGATTTCTAAAAAAAATCCATTGTTGGTAAGAAGCGTCCATTGATTTATAAGAATGGAGGTTCTTGATTTCCAATTAATCTCTAATAATTTCTAAGGAAACCCATTAATTTCTAAAAAAAATTTGCATTAATTTTTAGAAAACGACCATCAATTTTAAATTAATGTACTAAATAAATAATAAATTAATTTTTAAGGAGAAATAATTAATATCTATTAAACCTCCATTAATTTCTAAGAGCGCCTTAATTAATTTCTCAAAACCCTCTATCAATTTTAATCCATTAATTTTTGATAAACCTCCATTAATTTCTAATAAATCTCTATTAATTTCTATGAGCATATATTAGTTTCTATAAGGAACCTGCATCACTTATTAAAATATAAACTGTTAAGAAATCTCCATTAATTTCTAAGGTGTGACTATTCATTAGTAATAAACCTCCATTAATTTTTAATAAACATCCATTAATATCTAAGAAACCTCCATTAATTTTTGAACAGCGTGTATAAATTTCTGAGGAACCTCCATTAAATTCTAAAAGTGCGCATTAATTTCTAAGAAACCTTCATGGATTTTTAAAAAACGTGTATAAATTTCTAAGAAACCTCCATTGATTTTCAAGTATTTTCATTAATTTTTAATAAACTTTCATTTATTTTGTATTAAACCTCCATTCATTGCTAAGGAGCATCGATTGATTTTCCAAAAACTTTCATTAATTTCTAAGAAACATCCATTTATTTCTAAAACAAAATTATAATTTTTCAGAAACCAAAAATTTTTCAAGTAGCGTCTATTCATTTCTAAGTTACATGCATGAATTTTTAAGAAACCTCCACCAATTTAAAAAAAATATTTATTCATTTCTAGCATCCTCTATTGAATACAGAAGGCACTAAAACATGGTAAAGCACATTCGTTTTGTGTTTTTACCCTAAGATTCTAATTAATTAAAATTTAATATATACATAGATATAGAAGTTCATGCAACTTACTTGCCTGAGTGTAAAATGCCACTTACACCTACTTTTCTATTCCATTATTACTTACCTATAGCATATTTAAAATGCTTTTTGCTGGCCGCACCCGTTTGTATTCCAAATAAACAAATGAGCAAAGCTAGCTTTGCCATTTGTGTTTGTGACATAAACATTGTTAAAAAATAATTATAAATAAATTAGTTAATTAACTATTTAATTTCGAAAATTAATTACTTAAATCGATCACTAACTAAACTATACTGATCTGTTGAAAAGTATGCGTCACTTTTTATACGGTTTTCATTTTGACGCAAATTGTAAAGGCGAGACATGGGTATTGAAAAGTGTAGAGGAAAATGGGGTAAATGGTAATAGTATACACCTAACACTAACTTGACAAATTATATAAAATTGATTTTATTATTTATTAGTTTTTGTAGCAATTATTTTAAAAACCATGTGCAATTCGTGTTTTTCAAGGAAATGTTTGTTAAGATTAGGTGTACCTTAGGGGTGCACCCTTGGGTCACCATTTTTTTATGAAATATCTAAAAAGTAATTGATTGATACATAAACTTGTAACATAATTATTATTTCTGGTTGATATCAAGATTTCAAAAAATCGACATCATTGATGCTTACTAATTTATTTTTACCTTGATTCATTTTTACCACTATGGGTAAGTTCATTACAAATCGTGTCTGAGCAGCCTTTAATTACATCACATCTAATTTTTAAAAAATTGATTATTTTTACAAATGTCAATTACACCAATCTTCTATCCCCCGGTTTCCTCTACGGTCAATAATTTTTCAAAATATTTTTACAATTAATTCTAGTGCGTACTCCAAGTTCTGTAAATATTTTGGCAAACCGCGCCTGTATTTTCTTTTCTATTAATTTCTTTAATTGTTTTTTCATTTCTGATAAAAACGAGATTGTTGCCGAATGATTTAATAACACGGTTTTGTTTAAACAATTTTTAAGCAATATTAATTATTCGGTGACGATTGTTTGTAGAAAGTTATATAATATTAATAAAAGACGTCTTATCGTACGTAGGAGCATTGATAATTTGATTAGGATTGGTTTTGGGAATAAAAAACAAAATGTATCGACTATATAGACAAGTATCGAAACAATAGTTAATTACATGCCGATACTTTTGCTTTGGTACTCAAATAATATTAAATTCTATAGATTTTTCTTGACGATACTTTGCTGCTTAGTATTTACCGTGCAGAATAAATTATTGAACTAAATTATTGATCCAAAAGCACCATAATAATAAAAAGCATCAACAAACGAAATGATACCAGAAAATATTGGAAAAATGTATCAAATCAAAATTTAATATAAATTACATTACTATCGATACTTGTACCATTAATATCATCGTTAAGATCATAAAAATAGTATAAATTCCAATTGTAGACAATATTATCAATACTATTGTAGTTGGAATGGAAACCTTGGAAAGTACGTTTTAACTAAAATTTACTTTTTTTAAAAAATTTTAGCATTTAATTTTTTTTTAAATTTACAACTTTTTTTAAAAAATTTTAGCATTTAATTTTGCCCTTACCAATTTTGTCAGTATCCAATATAATTATACCAACCACTTTACAATATTTAATTTTTACTCAATTAAAAGGGGGAAGACAATAATTATAAATAGAAATACGATACAATAATTTAATTTTTTTTAATTACAATATCTGTAACAACTGCTATATAATGCTACATAAATATAAATAAAATATAGTATAAAATTAGGATAGTATTTTCATTAAAATGATATCCGTATTATGATTATTTAATATAAAATAAAAGCAAATCATGATAAAAATAAAATTAATAAATAAAATAAAAATATGAATAATAAATTCATTATATTGAAATATATATATAAAATATAACAAGTAAAAAATAGTTATATTTTATTTATTTTTATAACTCAAGCACTTTTCCTAGGCTTATAATATTTTAGGATGTTAATTTTGACCTTAAATCTTGTCACTGAAAAAATAAGCTATAAGCTCAATTTTCAATTGTCTCTGAAAATTATAGACTTTTGCCTATCAGAAATATAACATTTGGATTAAAAACAGTAATTATTTGTTAATTAATTTTATTACCATATAATTTTGTTTTACATAGTACTATAACGCAAATGCATTTCTAGGAGTAGTAGAAAAAGTCTTACAAAATACATTAATATGACCAAGACTTATTTTATTCTCTTATCTTATGCTAAGAATAGTAAAACTCTATACAATTTTAGAAATAGTAATTCAAAATCATTGAACTTTGACATATTTTTAGTGTATTGTACTAATTATTTATTATTTGTTTAAATTTTACTTTTTGGGCGTCTTTGAAGAACTAACTGCAATGAACGTTGATTATAATCATGATCTCCTTCTTTTTTAATATCAAGGGATTGAAATTCCTGGAGTTTCATTCTAGGCTGAAAAATGAAAAAAATTAATATATATATATATATATATATATATATATATATATATTGTGGTTTCAATAATCAGATACCCTTTGATAGCCCTGGTTGCCATGATTTGTTCCTGAATTGACCAATTCTTTGAATCGAATGGGCTAAAAAACATACAAGAAATTAATAAACAATAAATTTATTAATAATAATAATAAATATATAAAAGTTGGAGTTTCAGCATTTAAAATTACTTTTAT